AATCCACTTTCGTTTCAGGACGTGTACGTGCTATAGCTGTATACCCTTTGACGTCACGAACGCGTGGTCGGGATATCAGCCGTTTCAGAAATCCACCAGGAATTGTCAGAAACGTTAGATTTGCTCCAGGTCCAGATGGAAAACCTAGAGGCTCTTATTATTTCCTTGGACGGTCCTACAGTTATATTCAATTTCCAAATCGAGGAAGGTTGGACACAAGAGGATCCATCACACTCTTGGCGTGGATCTACCATCAGGGCCACGCGGGGCCTATCTTTAACTATATGCCAAATGGCTGGGGAGTACACTTCTGGATGGTTACACCTACAATGCTGTTTGCACGGTTTACGCGTCGGAGGGGACACCGTTTTACAAAGGCGGTGACCAGCAGACGAGTACGACCTAGACAATGGCAGTTTGTTGGTGCAGTTTACAATCAGCGAACAGGACGCGCCAAGTTGTTTGTCAATAATAGGTTCACTACCAATAAGTATATTGGTCGAATAAGATTGGCTACTAACTACCCCGTTAGGATGGGAGCTCGGATTGGAGATAAAAGGTATTTTCGGGGACGAATCTCCTGTATGCAAGTATTTTCTCGAGCTCTTACCGCCAGGCAGATCTTGCGCCGAAAGTGGAAGTGCGCTAGAAGAGGTAATTGCTTAAATATTTCATTTATTTTATCATCGGATATAGCAGCAAGTAGTAAATATAATAATAATAATGTAACACGGGACAGTACTTCAACTGAATAACTAGTGGCCATCAAATTACAATAGAGATTCGGTTCTAGTGTTGAAAAATCTTTTATTTATCATCTAGCATATCATAGGACCTGTCTTGTAATGATTTTCTTGCTCCTTCAAGTAGCATAGGGTGCACCGGTTACTCCTCTTTTTTGCGCAGGAATCTCATTAGCGTGCGCAGGAATACATTAACTTGGTGACGTCATAGGCTATTGTCTTAATCTCGTGAATAAAAGGTGCGCAGGAATACATTAACTAGGTGACGTCATAGGCTATTGTCTTGATCTCATGAATAAAATGCAAAATTTTTTTAACCCTGTTTCCCTCCACCACCACCACCAACGCCACATTTCTATTGTTTTCTCTCCACCACCACTGCCACATTTCCATTGTTTCCTCTCCACCACCACCGCCACATTTCCATTGTTTTCTCTCCTCCCACTCCTCCTCCTCCTGCTCGTGTCCCTGCTCAATTTTTTTTCCCTCCACCACAATTTTAATATTTTCCCTCATTTTTATTGTTTTCCCTCCTTTACCTCCTCCTCCTCATTTTAATTGTTTTCCCTCCTCCTCCTCCTCCTTTTCCTCATTGTAATTGTTTTCCCTCCTTCTCCTCCTCATTTTAATTGTTTTCTCTCCTCCTCCTCCTCATTTTAATTGTTTCGCCCCCTCCTCCTTCTCCTCCTCCTGCACCACCACCTCCTCCTCATTTCTATTGTACAGTTTTCCCTCGAAAAGGCCAAAAGACCAAAGTCAGGCCTTTTCGAGGCTAAAAGGCTAAAATCAGAACATCACATTTGAGTTTAGCCTTATAGGCATCATTTTGGTCTTTTGGTCTTTTCGAGGGAAAACTGTATAATAGAAATGAGGAGCAGGAGGAGGAGGGGAAACAGTTAGAATGAGGAGGAGAAGGAGGGAAAACAATTAAAATGAGGAGGAGGAGGAGGAGGAGGAGTAGGTGGAGGAGGTGGAGGAGGGAAAACAATAAAAATGAGGGAAAATATTAAAATTGCGGTGGAGGGAAGAAAAAAGGAGGGAAACGAGCAGGAGGAGGAAGAGGAGGAGGGAAAACAATGGAAATGTGGCGGTGGTGGTGGAGAGAAAACAATAGAAATGTGGCGTTGGTGGTGGTGGTGGAGGGAAACGGGGTAAAAAAATTTTGCATTTTATTCTTGAGGTCAAGACAATAGCCTATGACGTCACCTATTTAATGTATTCCTGCGCACCTTTTATTCATGAGATCAAGACAATAGCCTATGACGTCACCTAGCTAATGTATTCCTGCGCACGCTAATGAGATTCCTGCGCAAAAAAGAGGAGTAACCGGTGCGCCCTATACTCCTCCTTCATCAAAGACCTGTTTTGTTTAAAGACCGCTTTTAGGGGTAGATAGGAGACTAAGTAGAGTTAAAAAGGCATCAACTGATTATCGATTTGCTTAGTGTTATTCTTCTTGCTGAAGAGCGAATGCCGTCTATATAATTAAAGATTTGAAGAAGCGTTTTTCGTCCAGTAGTTCTTTAAATCTATTCATTACAATAAATAAATAACTACGAACAGTTTGAACGGCGACGCAAGGATGAGTAGAAAACGTTTCTCATCTGCCAAATATGACCCGAAAAAAAAAGATTCAAAATTTTCATGAGGGAGCGAATGCTTAAGACTGAATTTCATTCGCTAGAAATCGAAGTTTCCAATGTCAAAGTTCCTGTTTTTTAGGCCTAAGGCTGCGAAGCGTTCCTTTATCCGATTTGTTTGGCTCTAAAGATAAATTCTGTTGATCCAGTTACAGTTACAGACATCAACCATACATCGCTCCACTACAACACATGATAATAGTTTCCTTCATATTTTCATTTCAGGGATACGCCCAGTTCGACCACCAGTACGAGGTAATGTTCTTGAGTCTAACAGATATGGAGATTGATGCAGTAATAAGCTACGTTTGGCAAATGGGTATCATGAT